GTACAACAGGGGTGTGTATTGTCACCACTACTTTTCAATATATATTCGGAAGAAATCTTTGCACGAGCACAAATAATGTACGATAAGCCGACGACACGGTCCTAATTGCAGAGAGCGCACAGGATTTTCAGACACTCTTAGATCGCGTCAGATCGATCGGAGAACAATACGGCCTCAGCACTAACGTCAAGAAAACAAAAACAATGATTGTCTCCAAAACATCCATCCACCCATGGCTTTAAACGTGAATGGTAACATTATCGAAAATGTCGAGAAATTTCGATATCTAGGGTGCTGGATAACGAAAGATATAGATCCAGACATAGAAATAAAATCGAGAATTGAACAAGCAAGAAATGTCTTTTTAAAAATGAAACAAATATTTACGTCCCAAACACTCAATCTCAAAATCCGATACCGAATGCTGAAATGTTACGTTTACAGCACCTTACTATATGGAATGGAGGCCTGGACCTTCAACATCAACTCACTTAGGCGTTTGGAAAGTTTTAAAATGTGGTTATTTCGAAGGATGCTGAAAGTCCCCTGGACAGCGCATATGAGCAACGAGCAGGTCCTACACAAGATGGGTACCGACAGAGAACTCTTAAAAATAATGAAAACACGGAAAACCTCATATTTGGGACACATATACAGAAATGAGAAATACCAGCTACTGCAGCTTCTTATAGAGGGTAAGGTAGAAGGAAAACGTGGTCCTGGTAGACGACAGGCGTCCTGGTTGAAGAACATTCGTGAGTGGACTGGTTTGGATTCTCAATCTTTAATAAGAAAAGCCAGGGACAGAAATAATTTTGCTGAGGTTATCGCCAACCTTCATTGAAGACGGCACCCAAAAAAGAAGAAAGCAGTTGGACTAGATGATACACCTGCAGAAGTGTGTACAGCTTTAGGAAAGAAAGGAACAAGTTTGCCAACAGATTTGTTAATAAAATTATGGAAGTTGGACAAATACCAGACGTGCTTAAGCTACTTCCTCGTTTGTATTTTTGGATCCTTTGCTGTTGCTACCTTCGTTAGCTCAACTAATTTTCTGTCAAATGTTTCGTTTAATATACTGTCACAGTATTTTTTTTTCATCGCGTTTTGAGATCTTTTTTGGGAACTGAATATTTTTGTCTTGGTTACATCTAATGGGATTAAATAAATCTTTAAATAAATAAGACAAATTTTTATTTTAGAAAAGATCCTTATAAGTAAATAAAATAATTTTATCTGTGTGCCGTATACTAATTAATAACAGTAAATGTGTCTTTAATAGTGTATTAATTATATTTTATTGTTTCAGGGCTGCAGTATGAACTTCGAGAATCATCTGCGAATCGTTTTTGGTCCGTGCAACCTGCTGAAAGAGGGGGGTGTGCATGGCAAGGCCCCATTAGTGCGACCGCCACTGCGATGAGTACCGTGGGGGCGGGCGTTACGAGCCCGGGACAAGTAGCAGCTCGGACGCCGACGGCCCCCAAACGACCCGTCCGACGTGGCGGCAAGGCGCCCCCGGATCGTCCGCAACGTGCCCTCTTTTGCCTCAATCTCAAAAACCCCCTGAGAAAACTATGCATTGACGTCGTTGAATGGAAGTATCCTTTTTACTTAATACAGAATCATACATATTATATCCATTAAAAACTGTTTATTCAATTAGAAGTTGTTTATTTGAAATACACTCATACAATAAATTTATCTCCAAGTGATGCACAGACATTCATAAACTAATATTGACGTGTTTGGGAGCAAGTTTTTTAGTAGATACAAACAATATTTTATATTACTTATCTAATTGTTTACTTTCTAGTTACCAAAAAACTTAAATTACTCACTATTTTATTATTAATAAGGCTTATAGATTTCCCTGAACTTGCATTTTAGCTAATTATTCAGTAGTTTTCTTGACTGTTTTAAATAAAAGTAAAGATAAAAAATTATACTAATATCCTTAAAATTCACACACTTTTCATTGAATTTTCAACATTTGAAAAGTTTAGGAAATATATACATATATATAATATATATATATATATATATATATATATATATATATATATATATATATAATATATATAAGTTTAGGAAATATATACATATATATATATATAATATATATATATATATAATATATATATATATATATATATATATATATATGTATATAAGTTTAGGAAATATATACAATATATATATATATATATATATATATATATATATATATATATATATATGTATATAATATATATATATATATATATATATATATATATATATATATATATATAATATATATATATATAATATATATATATATATATATATATATATATATATATATATATATATTATATATATCCTTTACTACAAGATTAAAAAGCTACAAATTATTGATGTGATGAATCAGAAGAATGGAATAAAAATAAGAATTCCAGTAAATAATTTGGAAGAGAACTGCCGTAAAATAAATTTTTTCCCACATTTTCTGCGTAACAATGGGTCATTTTGATTTAAAAACGGGTTATTTTGACTTATTTTTCCCTAGATATGGAAAAATTTTGATAAGTGTTCTAAGGTTCACTCTGGCCATTTTTGACTGTCTTTGTGGTAAGGCAGAAGGGTTTATCGTATCATAACGTACGAAACGTTTTTGGAAAGGGGAGGGGATAGTGAATATGTTCTTCGTCAGTGCCTTATTCGATCCGGATGTTGGCGATCATCAAGGCTATCATGATTTTGTTGACTGCTTTGTGAAGCAGCTCCGCGGAGGTGATCCCAAACCATTGGTGGAGGGTTTTCAACCACGAGATACGACGGCGTCTTGGTCCTCTCCTGCCAAATACTTTACCCTGCATAACGAGTTGAAGAATGTGATATTTTTCTTCGTTCAGCATCACGTGGCCCAGGACTCAAGCTTACGTTGTTTCACTAAATTAAGCACTCCTTTTTTTGTCATGCTGTAGGACCTTAACGTTGTTAATATGGTCCACACACGATATTTTTAATATAATTCTGTAGATCCACATCTTGAATTCTTCAATCGGCTTTTCAGTAGCTTGTGTCAGTGTCCAGGCTTCAACTCGATATAGTAACACTGAAATAATGTAGCACCTCACTATCCGCATCTTGGTTCCCAAACTGAGATCACTGCAACACAGCAAGGATCTCAACTTGATAAATGTAGACCGTGCCATTTCGATTCTGGATCTAATCTCTTGAGCGTAGTTCCATTGTGAGTTGAGGATAGTTTCGAGGTAAATGAATCTGTCGACTATTTGCACGACTGACAACCATGAATTGTCGTGTTTTCTTAATATTAAGGTCTAGTCCGTATGTTACGCTCACATTTCTCAGTCGGTCTAATAAGGCTTGAAGATGTAGATGTGAAGATGTTAAGATAGAAAACAAACATGGCGGCATTGCCAAAAGGGCATTACATATTATCTCTGTTGCTAATGGTATGATTGATAATTAAATGAAAGAGGAGGATCATCATCATCATCATTCAGCCCATACTCGTCCACTGCTGAACATAGGCCTCCCGTAGTTCACCCCACAAATTTCTGTCCTGAGCCGCCTGCATCCAATTTTGATGTGTCCGTTTCAGGTCATCCGTCCATCTTGTTGGTGGTCGTCCTCTATTCCTAAAGGCATCTTGTCTGGGTCTCCACTCAAGAATGCGTTTTGTCCATCTGCCGTCCTTCGTTCTCGCGACGTGCCCTGCCCAGTTCCATTTTAAGGTTGATATTCTTTTGATTGCGTCGGTTACTCCCGATCTACGGCGCAATTCTGTGTTGGGTATTCGGTCTCTCAGGGTTAATCCCAACATGGACCGTTCCATTGCCCTCTGTGTTGTTCGAATTTTGTTTGCGGACGTCTTAGTAAGTGTTAGCGTCTCCGCACCATAGGTTAGAACCGGCAGCACACATTGATCGAAGACTTTTCTCTTCAAGCAGATGGGAAGAGCTGATTGGAAAACATCTCTTAGCTTTCCATAAGCTGCCCATGTCAACCCTATTCTACGTATTAGTTCATTGGTCTGGTTATCTCTACTTAAGCGAATTTCGTGTCCCAGATATTTGTATGCTGATGTTTGTTCTATACTTGTTCCAGCTATGTTGATGTTCTCACTCAGAACAAGGTTTGTCATCACTTGTGTTTTTGAGTTATTGATCTTTAAACCCACTTGTGTAGAGGCATGGTAGAGTCTTTCGCACATTTCGATGGCATGATCTATGCGGTCTGTTATCAGGACTATATCGTCCGCGAACCTGAGGTGACTAAGCTGCTCTCCATTTATGTTTATGCCCTTTTCGTCTAGGTTTGCACGCTTACACATGTATTCCAATAATGTTGTAAACAGTTTTGGTGAAATGGTGTCGCCCTGGCGAACTCCACGATGAATGTTGAACTTGTGTGTATCTTCATGGAGTCTGACGCATGCCGTGGCATTATCATAGATATTTTTGATGACAGTGGTGTAGCGGTGATCTATTCGGCACTCTTTTAAAGCTTCTAGCATTTTCTGGTGGTTTACTGTGTCGAATGCTTTCTCATAATCCACAAATATTAGGACGAGGGGTTTATTGTACTCTATACATTTTTCGATGAGGCTTTTAATAACTTGTAGATGGTCGTTTGTGCCGAAGCCTGACCTGAATCCTGCCTGTTCGCATGATTGGTAAAAGTCCATTTTGTTCGAAAGTCTGTTTGTTATGACTTTTGTAAAAAGCTTGTATATGTGTGAGATGAGGCTGATTGGTCTATAGTTTACGAGATTTGTTAAATCTCCTTTCTTAAACATTAGAATGATCACTGCATTTTGCCATTGTGATGGTGTTGTTCCTCTTTCAAGGCATTCTGTGAAAAGTATGGAAAGCATTTGTATCAGTTTCTCGCCTCCTAATTTTATGGCTTCGGCAACGACCCCGTCGTCGCCAGGTGACTTATTATTTTTCATTTGTAGGAGAGCTTTTTTGATTTCATCAACAGTAACATCTGGTATGTCTTCCGAGCCCTGGTTTAGAACCTTTGGTATGTTGTCAGTTGGAACATTTTCTTCTGTTTTGCTGTAGAGTTCGCTGTAAAATTGTCCGACAGTTTGTAGAATTTCCTGTTTATCTGTTATTATTTCGCCCTTTGTGTTTTTCAGTTTGTAAATATTTTTCTTTCCTATTTGCTGTTTCCTTCTGAAGACTTTTAAACTTTTGTTCTCTTCTATGACTTTTGATATCTCTCTGGTGTTGTAGTCTCTTATATCTTTTCTGATGTTCTTAGTGATTTGTTTGTTTAGTTGTCTCATTTTTGTTAGATTGGTTCTGTATTTATCTGTTAGTTGTCTTCTTTCCTCTAATAGAGTTTTCGTGCTTAGACTTAGTTTTTCTTCGTCTTTTTGGTTTTTTGGGCAACATTTTTCTTGTGCTTGTTTCAGAGCTTTGACTATTTTCTGGTTTAGTTGTTCGATGTTTATGTTTTCTGTTTCTTCGTTTTGTAATTTTTCTTCGACCGTACGTTCAAACAGTTTTGCATTTTCAGGTGGTACCCATCTTCTAACATTTGGTTTAGGAACAAGCTTCATTCTTTCTTTTTTAACGTTAAGCATTACTTTTGTTCTTATCATCCTATGGTCGCTGCCAGCAGAGAACTTGTTGAGTACTTCCACGTCTTGTATTATATATTTTTTATATGTAATTATAAAGTCGATTTCGTTTTTGACGGCGCCATCAGGGCTTATCCAAGTCCATTTGTTTTGGGGTTTCTTTTTAAAGAAATAGTTCATTTGAAACATGCATTGATTATGTAGAAAGTTTAAAAGCATGTCCCCTCTTGCGTTTCTTGCCCCGTATCCGTACTTTCCTAACGCGATCTCCGCTTGGTCTTCTTTGAATCCGAGTTTTGCGTTGAAGTCGCCCATGAGAACAGTATAGTGTGTTCGTGTTCTTTGTTGTGCCTCAGCTACATCCTCATAGAATTTTTCAACTTCTTCATCTGTGTGTCCAGTTGTCGGGGCGTAGACCTGTATAACTTTTAAACTATAACGAGAGTTTAGTTTTAATATCAATAGGATGACTCTCGTGCTTATGGTCTCGATTTTCGTTATGTTGGGAAAGGGGAGGATATAACAAAAATATTCAGATAGAAACAAACAAGGTGACTACAAAAAGAGCACTATACAGTATCTTCATTATTACTGAACGTATTGCAAAATTGATATACAAAATATCATAGGGAACTATGGATAAAAATATGTATGTATGTACAGCGTTAACAGGCCTTTTAGGTCATTACTTGATGGATAATTTCCATCGTTTTCTATTCTTAGCTAACCGCTTCCAATCTCTGATGCCCATCTCTCTGACATCTTCCATCACTATATCTCTCCATTTCTTTCTTGGTCTTTCTCTCTTTTTTTTGCCCTCAGGTACTCTCCAAGCAATATTCTTGACTAGTTTATCACCTTGCATTCTTTCTAGATGACCAAGCCATTCTAGTCTACGTTTTTTCACCACTTTTGTTATTGTAGGGTTAGCATACAAATGATACACTTCTGCATTAGTTTATCTTCTCCATTCTTTCTCTACTAATTTCCCACCAA